GCTTGTCAGTCACCGGACGGAGTCGACCTTATTTTACGCCTTGCTGTAATGACGCAAGGCTCACCGGTTTTACTGACTCAGGCAGACATTATGCTTGGCTTACTGCTATAAGGTACAATAGTGTGTATTATGGATTTATTCCCTTTCTTAACAGTGAATGGCGATCGATTGGGGTATCTTTATGCAGTTTGTTTCACCTTCCACTGATAAGCGCCGATTAAATGATGGTCGGCCAGGAAACACCGGCAACCCGACTATTTCTCAGCACTATGGACCCAGGATAACCAACTGTTCAAAACAAACTCGTCAAGTCGTTCCAGGGTTCTCGGGCCGAAAGTAGATCGCGCTGGCCATAGTACTCCCCGACCACCGTAATGATCATATCCAGCATGGCCCGGGTTTGCATGGCGACGTCGACGGCATTATCCTCAGTCTTAGGCTCGTCCTCCTGCGCATCGGGTTCGGCCGATTTAGATACATCGGCTTGCTCAATCTTAGCCTGTAGCTGTGCTTTAGCCATTTCTAGCTCCTCGGCAGGAGGCTCTTGTTCCGCGTCTGGCATATCGTGGTCGAGAGATTCGCCAGCAGGATCACTGGGCGCCTCGGCATTCTCTTTTGGTTCCTCTTCCACTGGAGGATTATCCTCAGCTGGATTCTCGTCATCCGACTCTCCACTCGACACGTTCTCATCCGCCCCAGCCGAGCGCTTCTTCTCATCCTCCTCGCGCATTTTCCGCAAGATCTTAGCAGCGCGTTTTCCCAAGTCCCGAATCTCACCCACCTCCTCCGACGCCAACTGCCCAACATCGCGACACTTGCCCAGTAAGCCCCAAGCCCACGCACCGATCCGTCGAACCCGCTCCGCATCCCCACTCCTGATATTCTCCGACATAAGCTTCGCCATAACTTCCAGCACCCCCAACACACTCTCCATATCCATACACGCTAGCTGCACCGTCTGCGGGTCCGCCGCTAGCAAGAGACGCCGCCACTCCTTGCGCGCGTCTCTCGAGCGGCGCGGCAGACTTATCGGATGCGACTCGTCCAGCGCCGCTATGGCGGTCGACGGCGGCGTGCATTTTAATATCGACCGGAGGAGCAAAAACCGGTGGTGTAGAAGGTTGTAATAGCTCGACTGTGCATCCGATTGCACTGGTTCGGCGGTATCCGGTTGTGCCGTCGCGGTAGTCAACGGGGCCGCAACGTACACCCCATCCCTGTAGATGCCTTCCTGGGCGACATCCGTCTTCTTCTTCTTCTCTTCTTCGGGTTGAGGTTCGCTGGCGTCCTGTTCGACTTCACTCGGTTTGGTTTCCTCGGCGGGCGGATCTGTAGATTGAGGCGCGGTAAATAGGAAGGGCAGTGAATTAGCTTCTGACCTATGATTTCCACCGCATGGCCAGGATTAGCTCCAGAATTGGAATAGAATAGAATCGCATTCATCGCGGGCTGCAATAAGCAAATACACGCGGGCGTTTAGCAAGCGGGAAAATAGATAAAAGGAACCGGTATGATCCAGCAAAGGGAGAGTTGGTGTGGGGCTTACCGGACCATGCGAAGATATTCCAAGCCGTCCTCTGCTGGGCCGTAGAATAGTTCGTCGTCATCGGCTGTGTCGAGACCGGGAAAAGCGCTCTTCTGTCCGTAGATCGGGTGGTTCCGAGGACGTTCGTACGGAGTTACGGCTGGTGCCATCTCGTCTTCATCTTCTTCGTCGGCGTAAGAAGGACGGGGTCGCTTTGCGTAAGGGGTCCCGCCAGTCTGAGAGCTGGGCTGTTTGCGCTTATCGGGTATGCTGGACATGGCCTTTGGTGAGAGTGGGTGAAGAGGAGTTCTTTGAAGCTGTTCCTGGACTGGACTAAAAAAGAAGTTTGGGAGGTCCCACCGGGAGCTTGGGCCACCTCTAAATGTTTCATTTGTATATGTATGTACAGTATTTCAAATGCATTGGCTGATTCTACCACCTACACAAACGGATTTCTACAGCTCTGAACGTGCTCATATATAACATGTCGGTCTCATGATCCCATTATCTTTTGTTTTATCTCATGCAGGTATAAAGTACTCTTGGTCGTCTATACCAATCCTGTTTCAACCCGACTAGACGCTTATGGGCGCAGACGCTGGGGGTCACGGGGGAACAAGGTCGCCAAACGAACGTTGGGCAGACCCAGGAAGAACATGACAATACGGTTCAGACCAAGACCACCACCGGCGTGGGGAGCACAGCTTGGCGGAAAGCATTCAGGTAGTCCTCGAAGCCTCCTGGTCGGGGTTGATGCCCTTGGCGCGCATCGACTCAATCAGCTCGTTGACGTCGTTAATACGCTGGGCACCGGACATGATCTCCTCACCACGCATGAAGAAATCATACGAGTTGGAGAAGCGGGCATCCTTGGGGTCGGCCTTGGTGTAGAAGGGGCGCACAGCCATGGGGAACTTGTCCAGGACGTAGAAATCGGTGTCGTACTTCTCGCGAATGATCTGGCCAAGCTGCTTCTCCATGGCAGTGCTGAAGTCGTTCTCGAATCGCTCCTGCTCCGAGACGTCGACACCAGCCTCCTTCAACATCGCGACACCGTCCATGTAGTTCAAACGCAGGGCCTTGCCGTCCTTGGGGAGCTTGAAGTCACCAGCCTTGGGGTAGGACTTCTGGATGACAGCGATCTGCTCCTTGTAGCGCTCCTTAAGCTGAGTAAGGATGAAGACGAGAAGGTCTTCGGCGAAATCCAAGACCTCATGGTAGTGGCCGTGGAAGGTCTTCTCGAAATCGAGACCGGAGAACTAAAATGGATTCAGTTAGCAATGTTAAGAAGAGCGTTGTTACCGCCATACCTCAGTCAAATGTCTGTGGGTGTTGCTGTCCTCCGCACGGAAAACGGGAGCAATCTCGAACACACTTTCCATGTCACCGGCGATACACATCTGCTTGTACAGCTGCGGGCTCTGCGCCAAGTATCCGTTCCTCTTGAAGTACTTGACCTCGAAAACGTTGCTACCACCTTCCGTGGCGGAAGAAACCAGCTTAGGAGTGAAGATCCACCTCGAACCGCTCTTGATCATGTACTCTGCGAACAGCTCTGCAACGGCGCTGGAAATCCAAGTAATAGCCTGGCTAGTCTCGGTCTGCAGATCGAGGACACGGTTGTCGAGACGGGTCTTAAGAGTGACGATGGGGGCGCCATCAGCGTCAACCTGGGGGCCCTCCTCGGTGGTCTCCGGAGGCGGTCTCTCGGCATCCTTGACCTGCATAGGAAGCTGTTGAGCGGCCTCAGCAATCATGTAGACCTTGCGGATGTGCAATTCATGGTTGTTGAGAGTAGCCGAGGCAATGGGAACCTGGGGCTTCTTGACGATACCAGTAACCTGGACAATGGAGTTGACGTTCAATCCACCGGTGTACTTGACCATCTGTCTCGAAATAGGCTCGGCGGCGGCAATAACAGCCTGCACCTTCTTGCCCTGCTGTCTGAGCATCAGGAAGGCCAGCTTAGCACTCTGGACACGGGCATTGTCAACACGAGCAACCACGGTGATCTCCTTCTCGTAGTGGTCATCGGTAATGTCGTTGAACTTCGTGGTGGGGAGGACGTCCTCGGATTCGGGGATCTTGCCGTAGAGATCCTTTGCGGTGTCGTTGGCCTCAGCGGCAGCGGCCTGAGCCTTCTCTTGGGCGGCGCGCGCAGCAGCTTTCTCGGCCTTGGCCTTCTCCTTTGCGGCCTTCTTCGCAGCGTTCTTGCTGGCGCTCTTGCTCTGCTCCGCACCCTCCGCGGGGGCCGCGGCGGGGGTCTCCTCGGGCTTAGGGCGAGTGGGCAATTCGGAATCCGCCATGGTTAATTGCGCGATTGTTCCTTGAAAAAGAAGGCAATAAGGGGAAGGTCAACAATCAACCGATGACGGCGTTGAGCTTTGCAACTCAATCAATACTTTGAGTCACCCCACCGCATGGAGACAGCCCTAAGCCCTATGAGGGGCTGTGTCACATGATTTGGGCCGCCGTGTTCGCGCCTCAGGCACTGGATTATGCGGAGGAACCTTAGGCTAACAGCCCTACTTCTTGAAGCTTTGTCGAACTTCGAAGTTCTATACAGCAGACTTCTTTAGAAAATAAAAGTCTATAGAAAATATCATCTGTAAAACTGTATATATTTTTTATTATATGATAGCCAGTACATACAACTATAGGACATGAAGAACAGGGTGCTTAAGCCACACCCTAAATAGAAATAGTGAATTCGGAAATACTTCTTCTTGGTTACGCCAATTATTACACACGTTAAATGATACTAAACATGCTCGACTAATCAAGTCAGTAATATTGTATTTTTCATCTTTTTCTTTTTCTCCTTTTTTTTGGCGTAGATAAAATGAATAGCCAATGAAGCCTTAGGCAAGAGCTCCCCATTAGACCTTCAATTTCTACTCATTTTAGTCCAAAACCCCTCATTTGAGATGATGAATGCATCGTGGGAATACGCTAGTGTCTTTAGACTTTGGCCCAGCTTGGTATTCGGATTTAGCCTTTATAGACTGCATGCTTGTCCAGGCCAACCATGTTCCTTATGCAGACATATCATGGCGGTGACAAAAGCATGCATAGGAAGGATTCCGTTACATATCCTGGCCTAGCACAATCGTCAGAATGGCGGACACACGAGAAACCATAGCACCAAAGGTAATAATAATGGAAGATGCTAACCTCCAGTATTTGATCCTGTAACATGGACACTGTGCTAGCAGCATTTGGGACCACTCAAGGCATGTAGGGTTATAACATATAATATAATTCCCTGGAAAACGCTATCGTGGTACTTGAGTTTATTTCATTTATCATGCTCTAGAAAAAGCCAACTTCGACCGCTAAAATCGGCTTTCAGGCAGCTAAAATATCCCCGTTTCTATCTCCCGGGTGGAGAGTCTATTTCATGGAGATCTGGACTTTATAGATTCAATGTATATCACAGTTTGAACGCATTTTACGTGTCACCGCAACGTCTAATCTAGAGAACCATTCTCATCTTTAGCTTATCAGAGCCAACAATATCATCCTTTCTCGTGAGAAGCTCCTCCACATCCCAATTGACACTAATATACCGACCAGCAAGCCACTCTCGTCTCTCTCGGGTCAACCAGACAACGGTATTGCCTGCCAGCTCAGGGGTGTCATTAAGATAGATATGATATGATTCAGGCATACGCAGAGACATGTCGGTTGCGACACCCCCGGGATGGACAGTGTGTGCCACTATTCCCTGTGCACCATAGTCTGTCATGATGAATTCGGTGAATCTCATGAGGGCAAACTTCGAGATCTGGTAGCTAGATGCTCCTGGAAACTTGCAATGCGCCCCAACTGATCCAATATTGACGATAATCTTTTCGCCTTCTACTAGCATCATTGGCAGCAACGCGCGAGTTAGAAGGTATGGCCCGCGTACATTAACTTCCCAGGTCATCCACCAGTCCTGTATTTTGCTATTGGCCAATTCAACCCACTCTTCGCAGTGGCCTGCGTTGTTTATAAGGACATCCAGGCGGCCGAAGGCTTCCTTGACTTTAAGGGCCGCAGCAGCCACAGACACTTCGTCCGTCACATTCAAGTGGATCTTTAGGACGCGTGGAGCATTGCATCCCGCGGCTTCAGCTGTCCGTTTGATCTCTTCCTCGACATTGTCTAGACAAGACCTGGCTGCGATGGCTATAGCTGCCACTCCAGACTTGGCATAGGCGATCGATATTGCCCTACCAACACCTCTGGACGCTCCTGTAACGAAAACATGTTTGCTGTATGAGGTGGGATGGATCGTTGGATTGATAGCCGGGTAGGTGTCATGGTGTATTGCCGATGTGTAATAGAAGTCTACCCACAAGTGTTAGTTGCTAGGACAAGCAAACAAACGAAGATAGCTCAACCTAACTCAGACATGTTTTCCGGGCAACTCTTTGAAACTAGTATAACCCTGGTCTTAGGCGTAGGAAAGGTGAGGGAAAATTATAGTCAGATGCTTCCTCGAACCAACTTCTGGAGTATCTTATACACCAGCGTAATTTATAGCGGGCGTACTATGTAAAATTGTCTAGTCATCTCCTTCTCCTCGACCAACGCTACGTGGCATATATTATGCATTTAAATCGGAGGGGGAAAAAAAAAGATTAAAAATACAAAACATTGTTGAAAAAAGTGTAACCATGTAAGAATGGGCGAAATACAGGACTGCCCTCTTTTTTTTCATGTTTTATTTTATTTTTTATTTTTATTTTTTTAGTAAAAAAGAAGAAAAAGAAAAACCTCATAGGATGGAAAGGATTTGGTGACAAAACTCCCATAATACTTTTAAATTAACCATAGCTAAATCCAGGATTATCACCAGTATATTTTAGAAAGCAACTTCTGAATGTGTTCACAATTCACACCGAAGGGTACGGGGACGACTATCAACATCTTCACTTTTCTCCTGTAAGGGATGAACAACTGAGGGTTAGCCACTCATGCTCCTCCTGCTGGTCTTCAATCTATTATTTTATTCTTCCCTCCAGACAAAAAGCCAAAAAGAAATGTTGCAGCGTGCGTAGAACTGATTAACTTCAATCATGATAGCAATGATCCAAAATCAATAGTCCACGCTAATAGCGTCCTGCACAACACTGGGTCTGTTTCCGAATATTTAATTCAGCACATGGTCCTCGACTCTTACGGATACTTTGCTTGCTCTGGTACTTCTCTCTAACCAGGACTCCTCCGTTGCTCATATACTACTTGTATATCCACCGCCCAAAGCACTCGCCAACTTGACCGAGAAAATCTGAGCCTCCAAGGAACCCAGTTCAAATTAGGGATGGAGGACCATGAAAAAACGAGAATCAGAATGCATCTCGTAGCATCATGAGTACTGATGACCTGCCGCAGGAATCCCCTCGCCAGGTTTCAGGCTACAAGTGGTTTTTTGTTTGCGTTGGCTTCTATCTTACCACATTCCTATACGGTGTGTGTTTGGTAGATCCAATGATGAATACTATATTAACTCGGCGAGATATGTAGGTCTCGATACGACAATCGCTGCAGATGTTCAAGGTCCAATTATAGAGACATTCGGTCAGATAGAGAAGATATCATGGGTTGGTATTGCGTTTCCAATGGGCTCTGTAGCGACAATCCTTCTCATGAGTTCCGCGTACGGTTCATTCGACATCAAATGGCTCTATATATGCAGTATTGTTCTGTTCGAAATTGGAAGTGCCATCTGTGGCGCAGCGCCAACCATGGATACCTTAATTGGTGGTCGAATTGTCGCTGGAATCGGAGGGGCAGGCATGTATCTTGGGTAGGTATTTCACGTCTCTTTGAATCCTTGATAAAAAATAAGTATTGACAAAGTACAAGATGCATGACGTATATCGCCATCTTAACCAGTCCGAAAGAGCGCCCTATATACAATGCTCTTGTCGGACCCTGCTGGGGCACTGGATGCATCCTTGGACCGATCCTTGGAGGAGCCTTCTCTATCGGTAAAGCTACATGGCGATGGGCCTTTTATATAAACCTCATTCTGGCCGCCATAACAGCACCAATCTACATTCTATGGTTTCCCCGTTTCAATCCACAGTCCACAGTCTCAACGAAGACAAAACTGAGGAATATAGACTGGCTTGGGGCTTTGCTCAATGCATCCACTTTTACCACATTAACGGCAGTGATTTACTTTGCTGGCGGGACTTGGAAATGGCAGTCTGGCGCGACCATAGCTCTCTGGGTTGTCGCTGGGGTTAGCCTGTTCGCGTACATGATTCAACAGACCTTCAGCATCTTTACAACCGAGCAGCACCGTCTTTTTCCCGTGCATTTCGTTAAGCAACGGACCATGGTCTTGCTCTATCTTGGGACAGCAGCAGCAGCTACTAGCCTATTTGTGCCAGTCTATTATATACCCATCCTCTTTCAGTTTACAAGAGGAGATTCTGCCATGTCGGCTGCTGTTCGTCTTCTCCCATTCATAACTGTGAATGTTACATTTGCTATGTTATCGGGTACTTTGCTGCCAATTTTCGGCTACTATATGCCTGGTATACCCTTTCCGGCATTTTCCTAATCATAGGAGGGACTCTGATGTACTTTGTGACATCAAGCACCACAACTGCTGCGATCTATGGTTTCGAGGTCCTCATCGCTATCGGAGCAGGCCTCACGCAACAGATGGGATACTCTATTGCCTGTATCAAGGTTAAGCCACAGGACGTCGCTGCCGCTGTCGGCTTCGTTAACGTCGCTCAACTTGGCTCTATCACCATCGCCTTGGCAATCTCTGGGTCCGTCTTCCAAAATGTTGGATTCCGAAGACTCCAAGAAGCACTGCAGGAGTACAGCTTTTCGGAAGCGGATATTAGATCTGCGCTGGCGGGAACACAGTCATCATCACCCCTGATCCAGTCGGATGCGAACGTTGTGGACTTGACGGTTGGAGCAATTTCCCACACGATTGGCTCGGTGTTTGGATTAATCATCGCTGCTGGAGCTTTGGCCCTGGTAAGCTCTTTTTGTATGAAACGCGAGAAACTGAGCTTGACTACAATGCCCGCAAGTTAGGCAGGGTTTTGCTTTTTGAACTCACTTTGATGTCAGAGCTGTGACCATACATTCTCCCCAACTTTAGTATTTCTACAACCCGTCACTATTATTTTGTCGCGCTGTGTTTGGAGCCTGTCTAGTGTACAATCTAGAAATATCGGTTGGGATCGTGAAAAGGCCCTGGGTTTTAAGAAATCCCGTATATAATTGGGATGGGTTGAACTGGCTTCGGAAGTGAAGTCTAGGATGATATCAAATGAAAGGAAAAACAAAGTATGAAGGCATGCATCTCTCATCTTTCCTCCAGTGCCGAAAGATGGAAGCAGGCAACCGTATTGATAATAGATATAAGAATGCATCTTCATTTTACGGCGTCTGTTTATATGCCGTCTCATATCATTAGGTGTCAATGATCACTGCTTTCTGCCACGGGGCCAAATAAATTGATACTATACTAGAAGAGTGTCAGCAAACTTTGAAAACTATTGCTTGTCACCTCTTGGACTAACAAATTAAACACATAGAGATATTTTCTATTAGAGCATCCTAGCCTTTCCATACAATTGATGCTTATCCATCATTAATAATGTGAGCCCACTCGTGTTCCTCATTCCCGTACATGATATCATGAAGCCATCTCCTGAAGATCCCTGCATATACGGCTGGAGTACCATTATGCAATGGAAAGATTATATCTTCACCACTGAAGTGGATATGAGAGACAGGAGTAACAAAGTACTAAAGTAATTATATTAGCAGAAGCTCCTAGACGGGACGAAGAGAATTGGGGGGGGAGTTTGAAGGGCAATCTTCGAGATAACTACTAACCGCGGTTCCGGTGACAAAGGCCTCGATTAACCTTCCCTGGTGGAACGCAAAGAGAATATCTAACATCGTAAAATTTCTTTCCACAGCCAGGACACTCTTAGCTTCTGATTTATTTGACCCCCCGAGCCGTTGTGTGCAAAGCCGAAGGATGCTGTTGCGGGTAATGCCAGGTAATACCAGACCGTCCTGGACAGGCGCCGTGACCAGCTCTCGCTGACCTTCATCATTATCCCAGATAATAAAGAAGTTACTACCACCTGTTTCTGTGACTCGATGATCCTTTCCGAATAGCCACAATGTCTGTGCATATCCCTTATCCATGGCCCGCTGCTGCTCCTGAAGAGATGGCCCGTAATTGGCACCTGCCTTGACATCGCCAACTCCACCCGGCCAGGCACGACAGGTGTTTTTTGAGTTGGCCAATAACTTGAGAGCAGAAGAGCGGGCAGATCGTGCGTTATCTGCTGAAGGATCTTCAACGGGCGGAATTTTAGTGGTGACGATAGAAAGCAACGCTTCAGCCGGTGTATGCGGACCTATTCTTGGGTCTGTTGCAATGTACACTGGTCGTATGTAAATAGAAGACGCTCCCCTGCCTTTTGGGAGACAGGATGGGCAGTCCTTGATAAGAAGACTTTCAATAAGCTGTAAGAGCTTATCGGGTTCAAACATGGGAAGTTGGACACGGCTAGCACTGCGCAGCAAGCGCAAACAGTTTTCGTATGGTCGGAAGAGGCGTAATTTCCCATCATACCCACGATATGCTTTCATACCTTCGAAGCATTGCGTTGCATAGTTTAGACATGATGCAGTAGGCATTAGAGGTAGAGGACCGTGTGGCATTGTCCTTGGTGCATCCCATCCTCGCTTTGCGGACCATGTCCATATCACCATATGTTTTTCTTCTTGTCCATGATAACCATACGCCGAATTTGGTTGGAATAAGCCGGACGAGCCTGGTATATCATTGTTGGAGATCAAGTGTGATGCAGAGATTTCCTCGGTACTGCTGTCAAGTTGGGTGTCAGGCGACGACCCACGCATGCTCTCCGAGCCCGATGCCTCAGAGGTGACGGTGCTTGGGGAAGGTCGTCCGTTGTCATCTGTATATTCCGCTCGGATGAGAGAACCAAACTTTTGGAGCGATGGACTAATATCATCCGGTGCTATACAGCATTCAAGAAAGAACAGCTTCCAAGGCTCGGCTTTTGCCTGGTGTAATACATATGAAAGCTCATTGTGTGTTCTAATTTTCCTTGAAAAAATAGGTGATTCAAGTGCGCCCACAGGTTGTTTTATAGCATAGGGATTGGCCTGTCCTAAGTGGCAATTGCTGCTCAGAGTAGACGCGAAGCCGGCGTAGTCCCAGTTTGGAATCTCATTGTAAGTCCCTTTGTGAAGGGCAGCCTAGGAAGTATTCTTAGTATTAGAAAATTCGAGTCAATTACAGCCTTACCTCAAATTGATAGCCACGGTTATTCATGACTACTATGACTGGATTGAGCTTTAGACGGATCATCGTACTTAATTCCTGCGAGGTCATCTGGAAGCCACCATCGCCAACTAAGAGAACTGCTCTGCCGGAAGGCCGGGCAAGTTGCGCACCAAGCGTTGCTGGTAAACCCCAGCCTAATGAAGAATATAGCATCTGTATCTGGAAGTCAGCTCCCTCGGGGAGCTTAATTGAAGCAGCATTAAACCAGCTATCTCCTGTGTCAGCAAGCAAAATGTCCATCGGAGAGAGGAAACCCTGGAGCCCCTGCAGGACGTGCTGTCGTTTTAGGGGTGAGTAACCGTCTATGTGAGCCCTTTGTTGCTCATCCTGTTTTGAGAAGGAGGTCAAACACCTTGTTTGTTGCGGTAAGTCTGACCCAATCAAGCCATATAAGATATCGATTGCAGAAATGCTAGTGCATGTTTCACCGTTTGGTAGCCTTGTGAACCACTCTTGTATATCAATCATCCGACTTTGCTCCTGATGAATGTCTAGAAATTCACCAATGGTGTGGGAGTCAGTCCAGCGACACCCGATAGTTAACCAAAGGTCTGAGTTCATCACAGCTGAATGGACCCTAGTGTCTGATGCAATAGACCAGAAAACCCCCGAGAACAAAGGATGTTCCTCGGAGATCAACGACTTTCCATCAGGAAGGCAAAAGACCGGGCAGCCAAATGTGCTGGCTAAAGAAGACATTGCATCAAGAGATAGCCAATGCCGAGCAAGGCTCCTACAATCAGGACAGGCGCCCTGGCATGTAAGTAACATTCAATAATGGAGCCTATAGCGTCAGTGAGAGCCACAGGATGTGTTGTCGGCGAGGGGCTCAATAAAAGAGGGCGTGGAGGTGGCTGGGGTAGTTGGACTAGATTGTCTGGAACCTCAATGTATACTGGTAAAGACTCCTGTAGGCATTGAGAGAGCACCGAGTCAATGATCTCCGTACATCCCAAACTGTTTTGCAAACGGACAGAGGCGCACGTCACTTCACTGAACATTCTTGAAGGTTGGTCCTTATCGCGTTTGCCAATGCTATGGTGTATGAGCTTGTCCGTACCGTAGTCAGTCGATTTAAGGCCACCGCTGATGACTATCAACTTGAGATTCTCAGAGTAGGCCCCAGCAATGGCGTTGATAAGCGAAAGACTCCCGACCATGTATGTAACGACAACTACAGCAATATGGGTTTGCGACAAGCGAGCGTAACCGTCTGCTGCATAACCCGCATTCAGCTCATTGGAACATGTAACCATGCGAAGACTAGGATTCGTCATGAATCGGTCCAGGAGCTTCAGGTTGAAATTCCCTGTGTATCTCATATTAATAATGCAGAGGAATCAGTGACAATTTTGATAACATACCTGGGACGGCAAAAAAGTCCCCAACCCCAAGTTCCTCAAACCGATGGGCTAAATGTGTTCCAATGTCCCACTGTGCTGGCTGAAAGCTGGGTTGTCGGATATGAAATGGGCTAGGGACTTGATTTGTCCTCATACTTATCAATCCTGGGATCTTCAGGACGATCCGGCCTACCAGCCCCCCTAGCTCTGTTTTAGTTGAAATTCTGTAAAACGGCTTGGGTCTTACCGTTCTCCATCAACTCATAGGCCTTTGGCAAATCCAACAGACGCAATTGTCGACAGGGTACATGGATTTTGCCTTGTAGAAATATATCTAGGGCCTCTCGAACATCCATCTCGCTTCCAAAATAGGAGCCTTTGATTGTCACCATTCGAAGGACTGTACTGAAGACATCTGCTTGAACCTGGGCACCAGGGGGCAATCCAACCATTATAACTTCCCCCCTTGGGCGTACATACTGTATGTGGTCAGAGAATACTTTGTCCTTCAGGCTACTGCAAGACCTTCTTATTAGACATACTCACCTGGCATGCAAGCTGGAGTGATGAAGGCGATGATGACGTGACAATCACTGCGTGTGGGCCCCCGTTAGTGATTGACCTGACCTCGCTCACAAGGTCCGTTGTTGTCCTATAGTCAACAAAGTAATCCACATTAAACTGTTCCAGGCATGCTTTTCTCCGTTCCAGGCCCGTGGATATTGCCAGAACGCGGAATCCACAGGCTCGTGCGTATTGGCAGGCCAGGGACCCTAAACCACCGCCAGCACCGGCAATTGCTATTGAGATGCATCAGCACTTGCAGTGGCCTGTATTTAGCTTCCGTGTGTATTTTTTTCTTACCAATAACTTGCCCTGGTTTTGCAGATGTCTGTTTCAGAGCATTATACACGGTGACCCCGGCGCACATAATCTTGAGGTGTAGGTGTCAGCAAAGCAATACATGGTTGTATTCTAGAGGGCAAGAATAATACCGGTGCAATAGAATCAAGTGGTGCATCTTTAGGAACCTTAATGATATTGGCTGCTTTGCAAATACAGTATTGCTGAAATGTTCCGTTCATATTGCAGCCTAGCAACGAGGGGTTCTCGCAGTATTCGTCATCTCCAGAAGAGCAGAAATCACAATTGTTGCATGAATTTCCGATCAGCTGTTGGATCACTGGTAAGCTATAGTCAGGCAGTTGAGCAGCGTTAGCTCACTTTGACCCCAACATGATCTCCAACCTGGACATTCCCTATTTTGGCACCAACAGCAACCACAACTCCCGCCCCTTCATGACCTCCTGGAGTATGGTTAAATTGTGGCCTCCTGTTCTATATGTGGCAGTGCAGTTACTTACCAACAGTGCCCTCACTGAGCCCAACTGGCCACTGCCCCTTACAGAGACTGAGGTCGCTGTGACAAACACCAGCGTACTTGATATTTACGAGAATCTCATCCTCCTGTGGGAGTTGAACTGGTATCCTTTTATATTCGGGAGCTAAATCTATTAGCAAATGACTCTAAAAGCCTTGATTATAGGTCAATAACTGACGCCGGTTGATCCCTTGGAAAACCTGTGCCCATTGTTTTGTAGGAATGCTTGTTGATATCTCGTCCATACTGGATAGTTGACTGGGAAGGATCTCTCAAGTTAATGGAACCAGTAGTATAAACACCAAACAGAAACGGTCTTAAGGACAGTATATATAGCACTTTAAATGGAACTGCAAGCAATGGATTGAAGAAAAAGCCATGAAGCAGATCCTCCCCACTGCTCCTTCATCTCCTGACGTGGTACGAGCTAACGGAGGTCTAATAAAGGCCAGATGTTCTTCGGTTGATCAGGCCTGTCAAGTGCATCAGGATGCATCTCAAACGGTCGGTCTGCGCTACGAAAAGGAATACTGTATTTGACGGACCATAGGTAAGCAATTATGAACCAATTGCAGTGTCTAATCGATTTTGATGTGACACCGTCAATGGATAATTGGTTTGAACAGGCTGTCACGGATTGCAATTGAAAAAGACACCTCTCCACCCCCAAAAAGATAGTTTACTATACTGAGTACCCGACTGGTATTCAGTAAATATCACTTATATCTTGAGTTGGCAACTAGCGGTCAGGCTCAGAGTGTATGCACAGAAATCTCGAAGTGAGCACGACAGTTAGGATTCCGCTTTATTCCACCAATTCATTTGGAAACTTCGTCTAAGCGCTCCCATATATGAGACTTTCTGATTACGCGTTCTTCGGGTTTGATGGCCTGTTGAAGACAGAGTCACCGTTGGGAGGGTTGCATAAACCTTTGGCAAACCAATATTGGCACATTGATTGGATGCTATAATTCCGGGGTACTAGAATATTGCTTTTTCAAAGTTGATATGAACTTGGAAGATCACTTCTAACATGGGATCCTCGTGCCGAAAGAGAGAATACAGTTTATCGAAACTGCAGACGCTTTGCTGCGTTATAGATAATAGAATCGCGTCTCTTCTAGGTCACAATTGTTTACACTGATATTCTGCCTGCCTTTTTGACATTTGTTTGCTTGCAAATTCATTAGACAGCATGATATTTAATCCTCTATCCATGCTTCTTTGGTCACACCTTCGTATGCATTACTACACCGACTAAGTCCCCTTGCATAGGACCAAGACAGCATATCTACTCTGTAGAAGTCACACGTTCTGGGCTCCCAAAGAAAAGACGCACGAGGGTCAGTTTTGATAGATCACAATATTTTATACAGCCCATTCTGCCTCTCTTGACTGGCTACCCTCTGGGAATTAGCGAAGGCCACCCGCGGGTGGCGGCAGATAAACCACACTAATGCAAAGGTAATGGCAATGAATCCTTTTTCATACATCTTCATGCAGCTTGGGAAACTCAAATGTCAAATCCTGTCTTGGCTTGAGTGCCACTTGGTTATAGTTGCGGCTTTTCGGCGTATGCAGAAGCACGCACTGTGCTTTCTAAGAGATGACAGCAGCTTTCAAGTGGATACTGTGATACATGGCCATATAGGAGCAGATTAATATGTACCGAAATTGATGGGGGTCGATGTTCATACATGGAGTTGGAGTACATAGTATTTGAAATTAGTCTTTGGCTCTACTGTCGACGGGGGTCAGATCCAGGGATAGATCTGCTCCTCGCATTTGACAACGCATAATAATGAAAAGTTAAGATTTAATTATACCAAAGACCAACAAAGCAGAACTTCCCTGGTCGTGGCAATTACTATGCCCATTTATATGGATATTCCCTCGGGGTATATGAGCAACATCGGTTCTCGCATGGGAGCTATCTAATACCATTCTTCAAGTCCTCACATCTATCCCTGAGAGAAATCGCTAAGATGGGTATCATCCTGCAAAGTCCTGCTTCATTTCCTACTGTTAGACTGTCTGATGCACAAGAAATATTCTATGTTTTCTTGATAATACCTGTACTACTGTTATGTGTTGTTGTTCGAAGGTTGTGGTTTCACCCTCTTAGCAAGTTTCCTGGTCCTAAACTTGCCGCGGCGACAAGTTGGTATGACCTTTACTATGATCTTTTCCTCAATGGGTCATATGTTAAAGACTTTCCGAAACTGCATGAGAGATACGGTAAAGAGCCATTTCAAATGGTCTTTAGGGCAGGGGCTGACTGGCAGATCATAATGAAAAAGAATCGGATATTATTCGAATTGCCCCCAATCACCTCCATATCAACGACCTTGATTTCTATAAAACGTTAGGAGCGTCTATATAAACTTGAACTGGTATAGCCGTTAACAAAGACAGAGTTTTCCATGCCAAAGCCGTGTACCAAAAAGCGCCATCCTTTTATGGAAACCTAAGTCTAGGGGACTCGCTCGTTTCGCAGACTGATGAATCCAAGCACCATATCAAGCGAACTGTAGTGAACTCAACCTTTTCCACGAAAGCAGTTAACGACATTGCGCCAAGTGTTGCGCAGAAGGTGCAGAAAGCAGGAGACTTAATAGCGCTGAAAGCTCAACGCGGGCAACCTATTACGATCCAACAGGTCTTCCGCTGTATAACGGTAAGAAAAGCGAAGGCATTTCAGTAGTCCATCAGCATCTTTTTTTCATGGCATAGGAGTGGCTCATGATCTCGTATAGGCCGATGTAATTTGCGATATCAGTTTCGGAGTTTCGAAAAACCTGGTCGAGTCCAATGAGGAGTATCCAGCCTTTCTGACTGGTATTGACGAATTTGCGTCCAGAATGCGCTTTAGTAAGCCCAGCATAGACTCAAGCACACTACCTTTTCTTTAGAAACTCCCATATTAACTGACGGAGTAGCCAAGAACTTTCCCATACTGGGCTCGATCTGTCTTCATTTACCCAATCGAGTCAAGAGGCATTTGCTACCTGGCCACATCAATCTTGCTGAGGTTAGAAGATATGTCTCCTTCCAGGGGTCATTTATATGCTCACAGAATTGATAGCAATGCAAACCTCTAGTGGAAAATGTCTTGGAACAGAACCAAGAGAAGTCCGCTCATCAACAAAAGAAAACGATGTTCCACCTTCTGAGAGAGCCCGACCAAGAAAAGAATCACCCTGGTATGGGATTCGACGCGTTGATTAATGAAGCATTATTATTCACAATCGGTGGGAGCCATACAACGGCGTATACCCTCTCCTATGCTATATATCATGTTCTCAGCGCCCCTGAGATACTGTCCCGGCTACGTACCGAACTTGAAGGGGCTTCGGCAGCTATAAATGAAGAGTTTGACTGGCACCAGATCAAAAATCTGCCATACCTCGTAAGGCAAACCTCACAATTGTCTATCTTATATGGACTGTTAATTAAGAGACAATTTCTGCACTCCTAGACAGCAGTCATAAAGGAGACCTTGCGAGTCTCCTCTGGTATTCCAGGAAACCTGCCACGAGTGGTGCCTGCTGAAGGGATGTATGTCCAGTCACAGTTTATCCCAGGAGGCGTGAGTCGTTCATCTATTCAAAAGCCAACACCGCTGCGAGGAAATCAAGCTGATCAGACACAGACAATCGTATCAATGAGCACATTGAGTGTCCATAATAATCCCTCTCTTTTCCCAGATCCTCAGGTTTTTAATCCTGATCGCTGGCTCAGGGAGTCCGCCAAAGATCTAGACAATTGGAATGTGGCCTTCGGCAAAGGGCGCCGTCGTTGTGTTGCAAGCAAGAAAGTACCCCCCATCTATTTTTTGATTAAATTGAAAATCAGCGTTCACTAACAGAAGGAACAGCCTTGCGTATATGGAAATATATCTATGCTTAGCGATCTTCTTTCTGCGCTTTGACATGGAGCTCTTCGAGACAGACGAAACAAGTATCGAGTGGTCTGATTTTGTCCTGGCTGTTAATAGGAAGCCAGTCAAGGTTCGCATCACCAAGGATCATCTAGCATGATCTATAGGTCTGTTAGGAATTCAAGGAGTTTTGCACTCAATAGTTTGTAAATTCTGTAGTCCAACAGCAGTTTAAAGCCCGCCCTCTCTATCATATCTTCCTTCCTCTATAACAGAATATTAATTATCCACGTATTTCAGAAGGTAAACTACAATAGATAGTGCAGGGAGTTAATCCTGAAAAACTCCTTGATTTATGAGCAAGAATAAATGTCAAGAATGAAGCGGAAGCTGACATCAGCTACAGTTGAGTTTATGTGTATGCAGATCAGCAAGGAGAAGGGAAACCCACATTTTGGCGTCCAGAACAACCTAATTGATATATAAGAACAGGGTCGAAAGCCATGGCTTCTCCATCTGACCCCTTACTCCGCCAGCACAGTTCCAGATATCATCACCAGCGACGGCGATATCTACCTGAACGGCCGAACAAGAGGCAAACATAAGAGCTGTAATAGTTTCAGATCCCATTAACAAAAGATAAGTAAACGGATGGATCGTTATGGTATCTATATGCATTTAACAGTATGTAAGGTTTCAAGTAGGTTTAAGGAGGCGCAGCTGACGAGCCTGTCTATATGCTAAGTCATCTACTGCTGCAGCGTTAGTCTATAGCCCGATGTTCACGAAAACATGACAGCCTCTGCATGATGTCTTTAAAACTACCACTTAGAGGACTTCAAGCCATATTCAACCGCCTTTTTGACATTGTCGTGGATGGACTCCGGTGTCCATGTGGGTTCCCCTCCACGATAAACTCCAGTTCGCACGAGAAGCGAATGCCAATTGCTGCCATAAGGACTCCTATATGTATTGGCGCCCTGGATATCAGACTCCGGGTTGTCTCCGATCATGTATACGTTTCGTAGAGGAATGTTGGCGTCTGCACCAAAAACGCGGGAGCGGTTCCGCAGGAGTTGGTTCTCTGCAAACTCATAAGTACCCTGGTACGGTTTTCCGATAACCGTTTTCTTCAACTCAACGCCTTTGCTCGGGCCACCAGTCGTTGCAGCCCAGGTGCCTTCCAACGCTTCCCGGAATCCCCCCTGGCCGAGACGCGGGAGATGGTAGGCTGCAGCCCACCACAGATCGGGGTTCGAGAAGTAGAGAGGTGGCTGACCATCCTGCTGGTAACCCCGGTTTGGCAAGTCAGACTGCCCGTTCTTCTCTGAGAGAGTTCCGAGGACACCTTGAGACGAGAGTAAGAAATCCATGATCACTTGCGCATCCAGAGCCCAGTCACGCGGGTCATTGTAAACAAAGATGGCGTCAACCTTGAGGCCCTTGGTCGGGTCTTTAGGGTCCTGGGGGTTCGGCAGTGGTCTCGCAAATGATTTATAGTAGTCCTTGAACACATTCGAGAAAGGCCAAATGGTCGGATTGGCCATGATGATATCACCAGGTGTGATCACGTTTTTGAAGCCGTACCTGGGGGTTGTGTCAAAACTGCGCCTTGTCGCTAATGTTACTCTGGTGCATGCAAGTACCGTACCTCTCTGCAACCTGTCGACAGCGGTCGCCTTCACCTCCGACTACTAGCACGCACTTGTTTTCGAGAGAACTCTGCTCATTTGGTCCGCGTACGAGCTCCGCGAAAGGGGAATGGCTCTGGACGATTACCGAGGGATCCAATGGTAGCTGCAGTTTTTCACTGATTTCGGCCACTCTTTCCGTCTCATGTTTCCCACCGCCATTTGTCAACAGAATGAAGGGGATTCCCTGTTCCTTGAGGAGAGCTAATGACTCCGCAGCGCCGGGGATGGGCTTGGAGGATCTGAGAAGGACGCCGTCGATACTGGTCACGCAATTAGACATTGAAGCTGAGGCAGAGCTCAGAGGTATAGTATACCTACTCGAAAGCAAAGGCAAAGTCTGGAACCCGAGGCTGGGAGCTGGTTGTCGTTTGAATGAATCGGCGACCTGCACCGGACTCTACGAAGGAACGAGTAGCCGCGCGGTGAAGCAGGCCGAAAGACCGGCAAAGCCCTTGGGGCCGCATTCTGAACAATAGTCTATGAAATTGAGTGGTGGAAAGGGGGTAATATCGTTTGGAGGAGTAACGGAAACAAGACCGATGGGAGATGCGGAGGAGTTGTTTACTGGTCACGACTGGTCGGCAATTTATCTCCTTATCGGCGACCCCATGATATCATTTCTCCCGCAGCAGAAAAGCAAAGAAAGCATACTATTTCTTTTAGTCTATCCCACACCGACTCCACTTCCACCACAAAGATCGGCTGCAGACAACCTTACCATGGAAATCAGCGATCTGAACGCCCCCGATGCACCCCTCTCGCCATATTCATCTCCCCACGGAAGTCGTGGTGCAGATCGTTTCTTACGTCGATGGGAATGAGCTCGATCGCCAACGGACTCTCCATGCCTGCTGTTTGGTATCACGCCAATGGTACTCCGCCGCCATCGCATACCTCTATGAAAGGCCTCGGGTAGATTCTGGAGTCTCCTTCAGGCGGTTCACAGAGACCATCAGCCCGCCGATCAATGCACGGAAGAACAAACTGAATCTCGGTAGTTTCGTGCATCGATTAAACCTAAGTCACCTCGTCCATCATAGCTCCAACAGCCTCACCGCGAGGTTACTGGGCCGAGTCAAGGAGAATCTAGAAGTATTCGTCGCTCCAACCCTTACCTTCTCGTGCGTATACCTGCGCACTCAAGCTATATAGGAATGCGAAGATAGCTAACACTCCACCCCAGCATAAGCAGCCTCCCAGCGCTATCAAAATGCACCAACCTTCGAAACCTCGACCTCGCACTTGTCCACGAGGCAATCTCCTTCACCAACCTCAAACAGGCCATTAGCCGCCTCCACAAACTCGTCACACTTCGCCTCCCACAATCAACCATCCTGACCGATCCCGAATCTGCTAAAGTACCATGGCCCCCCTCCCTCCACCGTCTCCAGATAAGCGGACGCTTCAACCCCCTCCTGATCCCCACCTTCTCCTGGCCCCCAGCGCTCACCAGCCTAGCACTAAAAAACTGCTCCGACCTCTCCGTCTCAAACCTGAGCAGCCTCATGAGTAGTCCGCAACTAGGCGAAAGCCTCCAACGCCTCACCATCTCCGGCTCAAACCGCGGTCTAACCCCGGAATCCATCAACGCTATACCCGCCTTTCTACCCAAGCTGAACTTCCTAAGTGTACCGGGCGACATGGTGGAAGACTCGTTCTTCATCATCCTATGCCACGTGTTCCCGCCACTGGAGCTAGAGGCACTAGAATTCGGGTTTCCGTGCGAGGAATTTAAGTTAAGTTTCGAGACGAAGACGCTGATATGTGCCCTCGACTCGGGACTGGCGAGTCTTCGCTCTGTCGGGTTCGTAGAGGATCTGGTCCCAGACGAGCGCCAGGAAGAGGATATAGAGATTGACAACGCTCTCCAGGAACGGGTTAAGCGGCGTGATTCTCAATCTGGGACAGAGATTCGGGATGATGAGGAGCAAGTGGGCGTCTATTATATTTGATTTTATCCATGCATTGTACGATATGCATATATGTCCAGCTACGATTAATGACTAGACCAAAACAAAAGCTCTTATTCGCCGTTTTCCAAGACCGTTGCCTGAAGGCGTCCTTTCGGATGTACTACTAGTGTTTGTTCTATATGAGTTCTAAAGGCTATAGTAAGTCCAGGTTCACTTGCCACGATTCCAAAACCGACGATTCAAGTAGTGTTATCTAAAAAATAAATCAACATGGATCAAACCGCTTTTGACAACTACAATAAAGGCTATGAGATGGAATCGTCACGACACACAGCAGGGAAACATGATCAGAAGTATGAAATGGATAAACAGTTTAGACACCTACAAAAAAGGGGTAAAAGAGATAGAAGAAGAGAAGAAAAGCCATCATATCTAGCTTGACATCTGGATTATCAAAAATTGGGGAAAGAACAAACAAAACAAGTCCGATCTCATAATGCAGGACTCGTGGCAGGGTACGCCTCCTGTCATGACAACCTCCTCCATTACCATTTACAATTTACAACCTTAGGAAAGGGATGCAATCACAGCCGGTGCGACGCCTTCTTCCTCCGCCCGGACGGTAATCTTCGTTGTGACACCGGTCTTGCTGGAAAATGCCATCTTGATCAAGGCTGCAACCCGACCACCTGATACCGTCTTTCCAAAGAGCTTAAGCGTGTGTGTGCTGTTGCTGAGGGCCACGTCAGTTCCCTCAAGAGGTTGCAAAGATAGCGCGGAGATTAATTGTTCGGTGGCATCTGTGATATGCTTAGTACTTGATACTTGACAAGCCTGGCTAGGAAATGGCTTACCTGATATGCCCTTCATGTTGCTAAGTTGCAGCGTTTCGCTCTCTTCCTCTCCATTCGCACCAGTCTGCTCCCAGACATGGTCGAAGCTGCCAGCAAAAGTGGGAATAACATAATCGCTGCCTGTGAGCTCCAGATCTTCGACCTGGTACTCGTCCTCATATCCACTGTCCTCAGGCTCACCACTCGTAGGATCGATCTCCTTGCTGGTGAACTTCAGAATATTCGTAAATGATGTGACTGGTACGCTGTTCTCGCCAGCAAGTTTCTTGAACGTAACATATACAATTCCGGGCTCATTCGTAGCAAGCTTGGGGGCGGGTACAATGAACTCCTCTTCCAAAACATCTTCCTCGGAGGGCGTCGCAACAACGGTGACATCTTCGAGAACAGTATCCGGCAGAGTATTCTTGATATCGTATTGCACCACAATGTGTTCCTTGAAGATATGTTTGACCGCCGTGACGACGTACTCCGTTTCGCTCTCGGTAAGTTCGACAGGAACAGAAGATTTGAGCAAGGTGCCGTACTCCTTGAGCTCGGGAATCCGCATAAGCTCCTCTGCGTACTTCTGAGTGGCAGCAACGGTGGCGGCTTCGGCAACACCATTGGCCTTGCTCTTCGGGGGGCCGGTGGATGGAGCCTTGAGTGTCGGGGTTGCAGTCGTGAGTTTCTTGGTCCGTTCCTCGGCCAGCGCTTGCTCCTGGGTAACAACCGGGACCGTAGAGACATCGAATGCTGCAGCAAACGTTTCTTTCTCTGTCGATGTCACATACATCACGAGCTGGTGCTCGAATGTGGAAAGAGAGTACATTGAATCTAAATCTGTCAGCAAACAAATCAGGCCAGAAAGGTTTCAAGTGCTAAGCTTACCGTTCTTGAGGAAAAGCGACGCTGTCTCATCCTCCTCGGCCATCAGACGAAGGTTCAAAGCAGCACGATCACGCACTTCATCGTCAGTGTCATCAAGACAGCGTGTGAGAAGAACAGAAACGCTCGACTTCACTTCTGGGTCCTTCTGTCCAACACCAAACTTGGCCAAGGCTGTCACAGCAGCAGCGCGTACAATTGCATTCTCCAAGACGACTCGGTTGTAGATATAGCGAATGTACTTGGTAGGATGGGAAGTCTTTGGTCCTTCTACACCAAGAAGATGAAGAACACGAACGGACAGTTTGGTGAATTCACAATCTTCAATGAACTCACAGAGATGGGCGAGAGCTGATTTACGTTAGCATCATGAAATCCTGATGGGCATGGAAGACCTACCCTCTTCCCTACTCTCGGGAACGAATTTGATCAAATCAAACATGCTCTCGACAACGCTCCGCTTGAACTCATATCCACCCTCATCCCGCAGAATGCCGCTCAGGAATGAAAGCATGCCGGCCTGCTTGCTGGGGAACTTCAGACACAGCGTGCGGATAGCTTCAACAATAGTAATCTTGAACTCGTCGGTAATATCAGCCATGAAGCCGGAGATTTGCTTCATCAGACGGTCGACACTGGCCTCGTTGCCAGTCTTGAGCAGCGTGGTAATAGCGAAGGTAGCAATGGAGCGGTTGGAGTTCGAGATCAACGATTCGATGTCAGGATTGCAGACGTTCACCACGTGGGGTTTAAATGTTGCAAAGTTATGGAGAATACGAATAGCTGCAAACTTGGTAATCGCCCGAGGAGATGACAGGAACAATTGCAGGACATGGACGGCTTGAGAGGCCTCGGCATCGGTAACATCCCTCATATCGCAAATAGCCTTTGCCGCCTCGAAGTTGACCATTTCGTGCTTGTGTCGGAGCCAGCCATCAAGCATCTGCATCATAGGCTTTCGCAAGCTCTGGTCTTCTTCTGCCAACTTCGCTGCTAACCGCACCAGCAGGACAAGTGCAGCCGGGCTCTTGATCACACCAGCAGCACCATACTGTTGAACCATTTTCACAAGAGCCATACGATCGTGCGAGCGCATCTGATAGAGAAGGCCAATTGCGTGGTATTGTGTCATGAAGTTCGACTGCGAGATGGCATGGGTAGAGCTACCGCCAAATCCAAGGAATCCAGTCGATTGTTTTCCGGACGACGCTGCTTCCTGCGTTTCACTCTGCCATCTGCGGACAACATCACGGGCGATTGGGAGGAGATGGTACGAAGAGACCAGGGCGGCGGAGGAGACCGAAGGGGTCTTGTCAACAATTGCGGTCTTAATCAATCGTTCAATGCCTTGCACAGTCGTGGCCTTTTCCAACAACAATTAGCTCACACTCAGCGATGGGAAGGTTGGCAATGCGCTTACATCGATGATGCGGCACAGAGCACGGATAGCGTTCGCCCGGTAGAGCACATCGCTACCGACGGCGGTGTCTTTCATGATAATGCTAGTCGACATGATAACATCCTCCGCAGTGTTGGCAAGCTCTTTCAGAACGAGATATACCATTTGCCGCAGCGATGGGTCTTTGTTCTGGAACAACTTGGAAATACCGAAAAACAACGTAGTCGCCTCGTTCGTGGGGAATTGCTCCCCGGTGAAAAGGAGGACCGCAATCTTGGTCAGAAGGGTACGACATTGTCGCGGAGAGATCGGTGAGGTGTTGAACAATCGGGCTGGAGGTAGATAAATAAGGAAGTTTAGCCCACGGGGTCCCTGTACACTCAATGCGACCCAGGGGGGGTTGTTTGTGATAGTCCCTTACCATCTTGGAAGACGGAGGTCCGATCCAGCTTGATCATAGTCTGGTCGGCGTCCTCATCTTTCTTCATGTAACTCATGATGACAGGCTGCAGGAATTGCAGCTGCTGAGACTCTCTTTCTCACGCTCTATGTATGGGAATTAGACCCCGTTGAAGTGACGTCGGAGTCAATGGTCGAGTAAGGGCGGGTCAGGTCCCAATGTTTAGTTGTAGTTGGTGCAGGCGGTGAAACAGCGATTAGCGCACCCTCATTATCTTCCAGGAGAGACAAGGGAACGGGGAGGGAGCGAATATGGGGACGAGATTGAGTGGAGGATATGAGAAACCCGTCCCAGGGAAGAATGAATGGATGTTCTGCCAAAGCGTCGGACGAGGAGGTCCAGATGGCATCCAACAATCTCCAGGTGGCCTTAGTCTACTTAGTCCTTCCGCGTCTGTGGGCTTAAAGCCACCGTGGCTGACGCTGCAAACCATGCAAACACGCGGCATGCATCATCTGTATCTTGAGATCGTAGAAATATGGTTGACTGATACTTCTTTTTAGGCACTTGAATTGCTCTTCTCTTTTTCTTTCTTGATATCCTCTGTTTTGGCCATTGAACTTTACTATACACTAACCTATCATGCAAGTTGAAGTCAACCCCAACGAAGATACAGAATGGTCCGCCTCTGCGTCCCCACCACATTCCCTCCCTATACAATCCTAATACTCACCCCGCCGCAGGAACGATATTCTCCGCAAACACGGAGTTATCCCCGAGAAGCCTCAGGACCCGGAACCTCTCATTCAAGAAGCCCTTGTTGAGGCGGAGCGCAAGGCCTACGAGAACCGACTAGAAGATAAGGATTTGGATGAACTAGACGAGCTTGAAGACGAAGAGGATGAAGAGTTCCTTGAGCAATATCGGTATCGCACCGCCGGCGCTTACGGGCTTCTTATGGTCGAAATACGGTCGCTAATCAGGTATTCAGAAAGCAACGTTTTGCAGAGCTCTCCACGCTCCAGAAAACCAGTATATACAACCAAGTTTACCCACTTCAGAAAGTCGACTACGGAAGAGAAGTGACTGAGGCTTCCAATAACGCCTTTGTCCTTGTGCATCTGTCCTCATCATCGAGTGGTAATGTCGAGTCGCAGCGCTTGACGGAGTTATGGCGGCAATTGGCGACTAAGTTTGGCGACATCAAGTTTTGCGAAATTCGCGGCAATATGTGCATTGAAGGGTATCCGGATAGAAACACCCCGACAATCTTAGTGTACAAGGACGGCGAGATAAAAAGACAGCTCGTAACACTAAGGGAGCTTAAAGGCCCTAGGACGACGATCGAAGGTAACGTCAAACCCATGCCCATTAGTACAGAGCTTTGCTCTATATGGTATCAAGTCTTGGTATTAATGCTTATGTCTTTGTAGATCTCGAGAGGATGCTCCTAGACCTAGGCGCCCTCAAGGAGAGTGATGTACGTTTGAAGAAGCGATCTGACGACTCAGATGACGCTCGTCCATCGAAAATAAAACAATCTCGAGTAGAAGATGACGATGACGACTGGGACTGAAAGCTACTATTGGTACTGCAACACTAGATGTCATGATCACCCCCTCGCTCATGAGTAATGGTTCTCCTTAACTTGCACCATCTCTGTGCATCTTGTTATCTTTTAGGCTTCTCAATCAACCCACATCTGGCATGTAGTGTTATTTGTATTGTTAATTAGTTATAAGCAGCCAAACTGGTCCTGGAGACCTATTGCTTGTGCAAAATTATACATTCCACGGAATTATTTCCATTGCTCATGCAATGACTGGGCGTTCCGAGATCCAAGATAGACGGCGACAAGGATCCAAAGTCCTCAACATAAATGGGGACTGAGTCTATTCTCATACACACAATCAAAGAGCTTAGCTAGATGGTGTCTAGTTATCTGCCATATCAATTAAAGTTCAGCATATGGATTTATAGACATTGGACATATCATCCACCCTTAGTGTTCTGGTTTGGAGCTAAACAAATAATGTAACGAGTAGGCCGCAATATGAGACAATGACTGTTGAGACCCTGACAGCTGGAGAACACGACGACGGAGTTAGAGATCTATAAGAGACTCTGATGATATAGATATATACTAAGTACGATAGGCAGAAGGTGTTATAATTTAAGTTATGTAGACATATGTAGAAGGCGTAAATAGGGTTCTATTTGTTTTCAGCCAAAGACGGCGCTCAAGCACGAGGACACCGCTGAGAGAGCCAATGTTTTCCAGTGAAAAAACGAAGTAGATAGAGGAAAGAAGTGAAAGCCAGAAAGAGAAAAGGAAAAAAGATATCGACAAGGACGCGATTTGAACGCGCGACCCCGAAGGGATAAGATAACATCCAATGGTTGGATTCACTAGAGAAGGAATTAGATATGGAATGGTGCGTGAAGGAATAACATGGCAACATACAGTCTTACGTCTTAACCACTCGACCACCTTGCCTCGGATGAAGGATTTTGCGGCTTTGAGGAAAGATGAAGGGTATGTATAAATGGACAAGATATATTTCGCGATGGACTGGACGAGGCGATACCGTATTGATTTAAATAAAAATTTAGATCCAACTTTAACACCTGGAGAGCGGTAGCTGTTCTTTGTGGGTGTGAAACAAATATAAGAAAAAAATGTCGACAAGGACGCGATTTGAACGCGCGACCCCGAAGGGATAAGATATCATCCATATGAGGAATTCACTGGGTAATTATTAGTAAATGGTGGGGGATTCAGCGCTGAATAAAGGCTACATACAGTCTTACGTCTTAACCACTCGACCACCTTGCCTTCAATGCATCGGTTTCTGTTGAACAATGTCCTGAGTAAAGGTATACTCCTTCTGTTCAATACGAGACTTTGGTCAGGATGTCTTGACAAGGCCCCAACATACATTTGGGAAAGGAAAAACGTTCATATATTTTCTTCTCTTCTTTTTTGTTCGAAGACTGGGTCTAGCGGTCTGTTTGAGAACCAATTCATAGCGCTAAGCACATATGTACATGTCTTCTCGTGCATGTACTCTGTACGTAAGATACACCCTCCTAGCATAACAGATCATGCGATCTTTATATTCTGCCGCTCTCCTTCCCAAACTCATTCTGAAGAATGGATGCTGCCAACTGGCGTAATCAGTTTGGTGACTTCATCACCCCTAGCCCTAGTATTCCAGTCTCATCATTGCCTTGGGTACATTTGCAGGGGCACTCTCCGCTTTCTTCTCCTTCTCTCCCTTAGCCCTCCCCATTGACCTATAACTCGGCCATGGCCGAATTTCGGGGTCTGGAGAACTTTCTATCTGCCTGGCACATTTCTGGCATGCCTCCTCTCCTAGGATTATTCCCCAAAACAAGGGAGGAACGATGCTAGGTCCCCCACGTGTAAGGGCTCGTCCGCATCTTCTCCAAAGAATCGAGTTACGCTTAATGGCGGAAAAGATGGGAGAGCACACAACATTGCGAATTCAGGAATATTCTGGCAAATCAGTTGCAGCTCGGGTTGGTCCATAGCAATATATGATATTGACCATGGATAGATGAAAGGGGCTGGTCTGAACGAAGCTCCCTTCCCATATAACATAGTAATGCAGGGGGGGAGTTGAGGGATGTCTGATTCTTCAGGGCCGCCTACAGGTGGGAATTGCAGCTGTAAACGGCCCCAGTAGCGGTCAGTTCAGCATCAGTTACATAATCCCTCGCATTCTTTTTATAAAAAATTTCCCAAGTTCCAGTAGGAAGCGATATAACAGTCATTAGAATCGTGAACCAAATACGCCAACCAACAAGCGCCATAAACGCAGCGTACCCGAATTCAAAAGAGCAAGCGTCACTTTGTAGACTTCCAAACTCAAAGAAGGTCATCATTATGAGCAGCCGCGCTTTCTTCAATGGCATGGAGCACCGCGGCCTCGGGGAAAGAAGGGCCCTGTCCATCACACTGGGTTATGTTCTTCAATCGTTCCGAGACATCTTTAATATCTACTAGACCGCGCTTGAATAGCTCATGCCCTTGGATTAGGTCCCACGTAGCACCGGCACCGAGCAGCCTTTCCCCGGTTTTCGGGCAGACTGACACTCGATGGAGACGAGCTGGTTCGCCCTTTGGTACCAGCTCGGAGTAAAAATCCGTGGGAGTGTATCTCAGCGGCCCTGTCGTAGTTGGCTCGTCTGAGTTGTGATGTGTTCGGTCGCTCGAGCCCGACGTTGCCCGCAGGATCTCATTCTCCGTTGTAAACCGGGCTAACTCCCGCTTCAAGCGTTCGTTATCCGCCACCAAATTGGATGATGCTTGTTCCAGGTTGTTAACCTTTTCCTCTAACTCTCGCACGTGTCGCTCCTTTCGTTCGCGGAACGCGCGTTGACTGCCGCAGCGGGAGAAGAACGTTAGCCGGGCCGGTTACCCCTCTCTGGGAGGTTTGTCGCAAGAAAGAGGCAAACCTCCGTAAAAAAAGGGAGTTGAACCTACGCTGCTCTGTTCTGTGCCTTGCGCTTAGATTGCGCCGGAGTCATAGATTCCTTTTCCTCGCTACTACTCCTACCAAACCCCGGCTCTCCATCTACCAAAGTCAGCTCGGTCGGCTGGCCGAAGATATCACTGCCAGAGGCAGAATGCTTCGAGAATGACTCGGGTGGAGAGTTTGGCGGTTGTCCGAACGTTGCAGTGGGGTTCTGGAAGCGAAACGAAGGGTCGAAGGACTGAAAACTCTGTATGCCCTTGCCATGGTCAGTGAAACAGGACTCGGCACTAGCCGGTCAACAGAAGGAATGCAGACCAACGAAGCGAGAGTATCCTGGATGTTATCGGTCTGTGGATTTCGATGGTTGTCATCGTCGTTCTGACCGAGGGTCGGCGCCCCTTGCAAGTTGTATAAAGAGAACGGTTGCGATTGGGAATTGGGATAGTATGGGTACTCCATCTCTTCGGTTCTTCAGCGATTTGATAAGCATACAATAGGTTAGGGGGTTTGAAGAGGAGCAGAAGGCGCGATCGCAAAATAAGGTCGGGCCTAAAAAAACCGGGGGTGGCATTGGCCTACAATTTGTCCGTGTATTTTACAGTCTCGTATTACATGACGTATTCTCTTTTGTTGTCCTGTATCTGGTAGTAATTTATGTACAACTTTCTACCTCAGTCGAACTCTTACAATCAATTCTCTACCGATTAGGCTGGTCTCAATCCGACCACATTCCATTGACATCTTCAAGCCAAGCAGCTGACCCTGGTCGCTGTTTTGTCAGGTCTAAGTCTAGCCGCCAATCTCCGATCATGACTGAGGTACCCAGATATAAATAGTAATCTAGTTGACACCCCGTACCTTACCGACTACTCTAAGGGTCCAACGTTGGCTTTAGACCCTACCATAAAACTAGTAAGTATATACTTGATACTATACTACTGCAGTAGTGCTCATTTTCCTACCAACGTACCCACTTGGGTCGGTCGGTCGAAACGAAGCCAGGATCTAAAAGCTACAGGGTAAAAGAATCTCTCACTCGAGACAGTTGGTTACGGAGAAGGATTAGTCAAGAGCAGCAAATAACGTGGATTATATGTCGAATACAAGACAGGTTCACTCGAAGAAACCCTAACCGCTGTTCCTTCAGGACAACAGACGCCATTTTGTTTCAGTTGTCCAAACGTCCCCTTTCAGCCCGGTCACCTTCGAATGTTGTCCAGTCTTCTTCACATAACAAGAGAGGAGCGAGAGCAACAGAAAACATGAAATACCACGAAGGAAAACAACCTCGCATGACGCAATACCACCCCGGAAGCGACCCTAGCCATTTTCCGTCGCCAGTTACCGATTATAGAGACGTGCTTTCTTTTTGTCCATTTCATCGTGCGCAGTACCATCACCCGTGCCATCCAGTTCTCGTACGGCATGTGAACCTTGACCCTTGGACATCAAGAATAACCGCCTCCCACACATCTTCGTATCATACCTTCATACTCATCGTCCCCAATGTTGCGTCGATAATAACATAATAACAGTCTGGAATGCTGAAATGTGTAAAACAGGAGATCAAAAGACAATTGCAAAACAAGGGGAGGGAAAATAAAACAAAACAATGAATGATATATCCGAGGGTCTTCAGTGGCAGGCATCAACTGAAAGATACCCCTCATTCTGCCGAAAGACAGAATTTTTCATTTTGCATCTCCTTCGGTCTAACCCTCCCGGTCGGTTCCAAAAGATGGCGTAGAGATCCTGGACAAACATGACAACCGGGGAGGGATGACGTAAAATAGCCACAGTAATAGCGTTTTGTTTCTTTCTACCAAGTACTTCCCATGTGCAAATCGAATGTTATGATTCTGAGAACGCATTCAAGTATTCGAGTACGGAGTCTCAGGCACAACTGGGAAGTCCAGATAAACCAGTAGGCAGATCGGGGGGAAAACGCGGCGGATCGAGACGGCGGAAACCGGAAGACGATCGGAAACGGGATGACGGGCTAACAGAGAATGCAATGAAGTAAAATAAAAAAGGAAAAAATGGAGACCCAAGGCGAAAGAAGTCGGAAGATTTG